GGCTAACTCCTATCCCAAGCACAATGCAATATGCATGACATGCATGAATGCAACTAATATACAACCTAGCATGCACAGTGCTATGAGATGGCATACACGATGCACGAGATAACATGGCATACACAATGCGCTAACATACAACCTAGCATACGCAATGCAATGAAATGGCATACTCAATGCACAATGGACTTACACCAACATGAGTGGGCGTCAGCCACACTCACATTAGTAGCCATGAGATGAAAAATGAGACACTCGAAATGCGTGCACACATGCACGCAAACCGAGGACCAATCCTAAGGCACAAATGCCACTCTAACAAGACATGGCGAGGCATGGAATATGGCATACAAACATGCAAGTTTCAGCACTAAAATGTGATGCAAAATGGTCCCGAAACATGGTACCCGATGCATGAAATGAACGCCGAAACCCGAAACTAGGCACGTGGAATGACTTATAGCTATACAAAGCATGCATTATTTGATCATGAAGCATGAAGACAGATTCAAGGCAGTCCCAAAACATGCATATTTTCAGTTTATAACAAGTCCCAAAAACAAACACAAGTAGGGCTAATCTATCATGTAAAAAAGACCCCAAAAGAGGGACAAAGAAGCAAGTGGCAGCTGCCGGCCCCAAACAATGAAGAGCCCTTCAACAAAGTTGAAGAGGGGCTCAAAATAATGCACTTTACGGTTTATGACCAAGTCCAAAACAGTACACAAGTAAGCTTAAAACACTATGCAAAAATAGGCCTAAAAGAAGGTTTAAACACAAAGAGCAAAAAGGGAGCCTCAAACAGCAAAGGACCCTTGATCAAACATGAAGAGGGGGTCAAAATATGACTCTTTACAGTTCGGGTCGGAGCCCAAAAATACAAGCACAAGGAGCTAAAAAAACATGCAAAAGAGGGATAAAGAGGCAAGTGATAGAAGGAAGTCTCAAACAGTGAAGAGGCCTTCAACAAAGTTGAAGAGGGGCTCAAAATAAGGCAACTCACAGTTTATAGCAAAGCTCGAAACAGTTTACAAATAGGCCTAAAATATTATGCAAGAAAGAGGCCTAAAAGAGGCTTTTAACACAAAGTGTAAAAAAGAAGTCTCAAACAGGGAGAAGCCCTTAATCAAACATGAAATAGAGCTTAAAATAAGACTATTTTCAGTTAGGGTCGGAGCCCAAATATGCGAGCACTAGGAGCTAGAATATAGATCAAAATAAAGCAAGAAAAGAGGAAAAGAAGACTTACCCTTGAAGAACCAATCTTTGACAGCCTTTGGACCAAGTTTGGGGACTTTTAAGCTCTGGAAATGGCGTTCGAGCTGCTGGAATGGAGTGAGGAGGAGGGGTGCTATGGGTTGTAGGGTAAAGGGTGTAGGAATGGTCCAAGAACAAAAGTGTTTTGATGTTTGGAATAGAAGGGAAGAGGGATTGAATGAAAGAGGCTTAGAACCAATTTTTGTAACCCTTAAAACTAAAGGGGAGGGGCTGGTTTTATAGGCAAAGGAGTGGAGAAAAGGGGGGAAATTTCAAATTCAAGTTTCTCCCCCAAAAGGCCAAACCCTCGGACATGGGTGAAGTGCAAAACAAAATACATGGCTGGAATGCACTTGGGACAAGGATCATGGCCGGCCAGCTCAAAAGGGAAAAAAAGGCCATTCACCAAATAGGTGGCCGGCCTGCTAGATTTTCTGGCCGGCATGCTACTTTTCAGAACAAAAAATGGTTCTTCCGGAAAGAAAGGTGGCCGGCCGGTGATTGGGAAGTCCAATTGTGGCCATTCAAGTGTCCAAATTGAAGCCCCGGAAGTTAGATTTCCAATGGTGCAAACCTTGCATTAAAATTCCTCCTATGAAAAAAGTTATGCAAGTTTCCGTGAAGCCGCGCAGATTCGGTCCTACCCGGATCCATGCCGAACTTGTCCCAACCTTGTTTTCTTCTCTCCTCTCCTCTTTTCTTCAACTCCAAACCCCTAAACAAGGTGTTTTGAAAGATTTTTCAAAAGAGTTCATCTCTCCTTCATTCATTTCCACTTTGTCCTCGCTCGGTTTACCGAAAAGCGCGACATTTAACAAAATGCGAGCGTCGGGACATCGTAGAAACTTTATTTCAAAAACGTTTTTGAAAGAGAGGGTTTCAAGGTCTAAAATCTTTTGATCAAGATTGTTTTGGTCCAAAAAGGGGTATGAAGTTGAGATTTGGCTCTCTCTCCTTGCCGAAGAAATTGAACCTTTGCCCTGCGCATCTTTCAAAACCATCAGTCGCGTCCAAGTCTTAAAGGCAGTCAAAAATGGGATGTCTACACTCCCCAAAAGACAGAAGGGACAAAGGATGAAAGTAGTAAAAAACGAGCTGTATCAAGGAGATGTCGATGTTTGCGCTCAGCTCGACCATTTTGGACAGGAGTGTCTGAACAAGAAGACTAATGAATAGTGCCATGAGTAGCTAAAAATTCCTCAAACTCAGACAAGTAATACTCACCTTCCAAATCAGAACGGAGAACTTTAATGGTGGTGGAAAATTGAGTGCATATCATGGAGTGAAAATTGGAATATATTTTGTAAAAATCAGATTTTCATGTCATCAAATAAACCCATGTAAATTGACTATAATCATCCACAAAAGACACATAATATTGCAAACCTCCCTTGGTAACTATAGGGAAAGGACTCCAAACATTAGTATAAACCAATTGAAAAGGAGAAGATGAAATAGAACTACTTTTATTAAAAGAAAAAGCAGACATTTTAGACAGTTTATAACTAAGACACTTTGAAATATCAGCAATGGAAAAATCGCCTAAATATCTAGATTGAACTAACATCCTCAAACAATCACTCGACAAATAACCTAACTTAGAATGCCAAATATAAAATAAAGAAGATTTATTATTTAAACAAAAAGAAGACAATGTAGTCGAAGACAAATCTAAAGGAACATGTAAGCTGTCCAAGATATATAGTTCTCCAACTCTATGCTCGATCCCAATCTGCTTCTTGGAGAGTCGATCTTGCACAACACAATAAGAGGAAGAGAAAACAACATCAAAACCGGAATCAGATAATTGACTAATAGAAATAAGACTGAGTGAGAGGTGAGGTACAAAAAATACAGGAGAAAGAGACAAATGGGAAGAGGAAATAGAACCAATAGAGGATACAGGCATAGAGAAATCATTAGCAGTAGCAATAGTGATAGGAGAAGGAGGGGAGACACAATTACTAAGAAGAGATGCAACAAGGGTCATATGATGTGAACAATTAGAATAAAAAATCCACGAAGTATAGCTATTACCTGAAGAGGATGAACCAAACAAATCTAATTGAGTGGTAGTCATAACGGAAGCTTGGGACGAAAGAGTTGGATTGGCCACCATGAAAGACTTGAACTGCTCAAACATAGACTGCATATTGGAAGATGGACTATTCTCAGAAACTGATGCAGAAAAGGCGGCAGATAAGCGAGATCCCAAAGATGTCGGCTTAGAAGATGGTGGACCAGACGAACAGCCCTTAGGCTGCAACAGCTTAGGACAAGCATGTTTCCAATGGCCTTTCTGATGACAGAAGTTAGACTCATCCGTAAAAACCGGAGGCTTGAGCTTAGTAGTAACTTGAAATAAAGGAGATGATGGGGTGGGCAAGAGCGGAGGAGTGGTAAAAACTAACTGGGAATGAGGAGCACCATGAGCCACCTTGAACCGAGTTTCTTCCGCAATAAGCTCATGGATAGCACCATTGACAGAAGGCAAGGGAGAAGATGAAGAATTGCGCCAAAGTGGCTCAAATTGATCACAAAGGGCCATAAGAAACTGAACAAGACGTTATTTCTCCCGATACTTGGTATAACTGTCAAGTAATTGCAAATCTGATGGTTCCATTAGAGCAAGTTGATCCGAATAAGTAGTCATCTCATTGTAAAATTCCTGAATGGACTTATCTTTCTGACTAGCACTGCGATTAGACATCTCAAGTTCATACTGTTTTGCAAAGTTAGACTTAAGGTACATAGTTTTCAAATAGTCCCAAATTTATTTAGAAGTAGAATACTTGGAGAAATTCATACCAATGGTGGTTTGAACTGAATTATGAAACTAAGTAAGAATTTGTGCATTTTTCTTATTCCATTTAGCAACATCAGCCTCAGTTTCTTTGGATTCCATTAGTCGAGTAGTCACACCAATAACATAGTTCCACATGCCTTTACCCATGATAAAATTTTTCATTAAATGAGACCAACAAGAATAATTTGTGCCATCCAACTTAGTGGTGATAGCTTGCAATTTATCATCAACCATATTGCTGTAATCAAACAACCCAGTACAAATAAAAGAGAATAGTACCAGACAGAGAGATACACACTGAACCAGAGACCACGATGAGGAAGTGCAAAGAAGAGAGTCCCAATCCTAGCGACCAGAGAACCACAAACAACCAGAGAGAGATCGAAGCAGAAGAGAGTCCCAATCCTAGCAACCAAAGAACCACGAACAACCAGAGAGAGATCAAAGAGAGTTAAGCAATCGTGCTGAAATTGACGAGAGAACCATGAACGACAATCATGAGGAAGAATAGTTGAGGCAGTCGCGAGACAAGTCAATCGGGTCTCGAAGCCAGGCAGAGGCAGTTGCGAGAGAACTGTTGGTCGCTAGAAGCCTTCAATCGAACCAGACAAACCATAGAGAAGAAAAAGTTGACTCAGGGACTCCTAGAGGTTTGACTCAGAACCTGCTCTGATATCATGATAACAAAGAACATATATTGTATATTTCGAATGAATCTCTGAGTACAAATATATATAACCTAAATGAAATAAACCTTAATAATTTAAGAGACGAAACTACCCTAAATGACTAATATAAAATACAATAAAAGACACAATCTTCACAGTTGTATGTGAGGGTTGTTAATTAATTTGATAGAATGAAGTGTTCATTGCTATTCCAATGATTATTCTTTTCTTCCTTTACGATACTGATTATTTGATGTTCTTATCAATAGGAAGCTTGTTAGTTGGTAAAACCCCTAAACAGTCAGCCATGTTAAAGAGAAAGGTGGATCAGCTATCTGAAGCTGGGCTGAGAGCCGAGTTCTTGTCTTCCTGTGATTTGCTGTTAGAAGAACCTGCACTGATGGTTGGTGAGGAAGGTGGGGCAGCTTTTCTGCCTGATGACTGTCAATTGGATGCTCAATGTACGGTTGCCTTTATTGAGAAGGTCACTCAAAGTTTCTCTTCTTACCTTTGAGAAATACTTTGTTTTTGAATGTTTTTGGCTATCTGCCAGTATAATAATGCATATATGGTTGATATGTAGGCTAACAGACATTTTGCAGCAGAAGGCAGATATGCAGAATTCTATCATCAGCCAGCAACCAGTTTATTGAGGTTCCTTGTTATTCTTTTTCGACCATGCTGAATTTTTTGTATGAAATGAAAGAATAATAAGGCCTTGTTTGGGGTACCCTAAAAAAGTCAAAAAGTCACTATCCTATTTAAATCACATCACCTCTCTACCACATCATTTCAAACCTAACCTATATTTCATGAAAAGTCAAAAAGTGCACTTATTTAGATCATCCCAAACCACTCCTTCCTTGTATGAATTATTGGTTGTGACCTCTGTTATTAGAATCTTACGATTCGCGATTCGATTCACAATTTTTACAAAATCGATATGAATCTATGGGTGAATCTCTCTGTTACCAGAATTTTATGATGCGCGATTCGATTCGAATCGAATTTTTTGCAAAATCGATACGAATCTATGGGTGAATCTATTTTGGAAGTAAATCTCTAACGAATCACACGATTCACAATCGATTCACAATTCAATTCACTTTTTACGATTCATGCAATTTTTTAAATTATTTTGTCCGACATGTTAAAATTCAATGTATAAAGAGAATTGTATAGAGAATGAATGATGTATTATTGATTGATGTTTAGATATGTTACAATGATTCCTATATATAGAAGAGTAGGTGGTAGTAGGTGGTAGGTGGAATAGGTGAAGTGGAGGTGGTAGTGGTGTAGTGGGTTAGGTTTAGTGGAGTAGGTGAAGTGGAGGTGATAGTGGTGTAGTGGGTTAGGTTTAGTGGAGTAGGTGAAGTGGAGGTGATAGTGGTGTAGTGGGTTAGGTTTAGTGGAGTAGGTGAAGTGGAGGTGATAGTGGTGTAGTGGGTTAGGTTTAGTGGAGTAGGTGAAGTGGAGGTGATAGTGGTGTAGTGGGTTAGGTTTAGTGGAGTAGGTTTAAGTGGGTGAAGTAGGTGATAGGTTTTAACAGCCCCCCTTTTTTTTTTTTTTGGGTGTAAAATGGGGATCGGGGTGAGCCCCGACATGAATAAAATGAGTTTGTGGAATGATGAATGTTTTTTTTTTTTTGAAAAAGTAAGGGAATCGAATAATAAAAAAATATGGAGATAGTGATGAAATGATAAGCATGGTGATGATGAATATATAATAAGGAATAAAAATAGACCACCAATTAAGTTTTATAATAAAAAAATAAAATTTGGGCGGTGGAAAATGTGATAATGATTTTGGGTGGAGAATATTTTAGAATGAAAAAAATGTATATATAATAATAAGAAAAGTGAATTGGGTGGCCCGAGGAGGGTTCAATTCATTTGCTTATTTATTTAGTTATTTTATTTGTTTGGGGAAAAAGAGTGGATCACATCAGTTTATTTATTATAATAACAAGAAAGTGGGGTGGTGTGTCAAGCAGGGGCTATGAGGAATTTTATTTTATTTGTTTGTGGTAGTGTGTTGAGTGTGTGCCCATGTGCATAGGTCTGCCGAGAGGGAGAGAGTAAATGCATGGGTTGGTATGTCAAAAAGTAGAATAAAAAGAAAAGTGCACATGGGAAAGAGAGATAGACAACCCTAAGCTTGCATTCTTGTATTGTCCTTCCACTGTCTTTATTAAAGGTATCTTGTGGAAGCTCATCGACATCAGCATCTGAAGCCACAATTGTGTTTTGTAGGAGAAATTTATCTTTGCATTGCATATCTGGAGGGTATTCTGTTTGAGCTTGAAGGGTGACAGTTCCTGCTGCAGTTGCCGTGTTTGTCGCATAGCTGTATCCCTTTCATCCTTCAGATGTTGCAAACCCGGAATATCATCATAGCTTGAGGAGCTGCGCATAGAGTTGTTATTAAAACTTCGATCATCTGGGTTTCCAAGGGCTGCTTGAGGAGACATATTTCCTTCTGGGCCAAATTTAAACGGCAGTGCCATTTCTGTATGATATGTGGAAAGGGATTCAAGAGAGAGCAGCAAGAAATTTGACAACGGAGTGAAGGTATGTGTAGAGGTCCGGCGGACGGCCAAGGCGAGGCTGTCGCCCGCCGGTGAAGCGGAATCACTAAGTTCTTAACCTTGCTCTGATACCATGTTAAAATTCAATGTATAAAGAGAATTGTATAGAGAATGAATGATGTATTATTGATTGATGTTTAGATATGTTACAATGATTCCTATATATAGAAGAGTAGGTGGTAGTAGGTGGTAGGTGGAGTAGGTGAAGTGGAGGTGGTAGTGGTGTAGTGGGTTAGGTTTAGTGGAGTAGGTGAAGTGGAGGTGATAGTGGTGTAGTGGGTTAGGTTTAGTGGAGTAGGTGAGGTGATAGTGGTGTAGTGGGTGGATTTTAACACGACATATTCTCGACTATTTTTTTCTCCATGTTTTTAGTGAAAATGACATAATACAACTTCTAATAGCGTTTAATACCAAAATAACCAACATAGATACATAATTTATTGTTATTTTAGTGATCATGAAGTTTTTAATAGAATCCAATCAGATTTAGTCAGACCTAACATATTTTTAACCTTTTTTCTCATTTTTTCCCCCTTTAAAAAATCATAATATATCTTCTAAAAATGTTTAAGATTAAAATTACACTATAAATTATCTATTACTATTTTATTAAATTGAATATAATTGAATATTACATATGTGAGGTCAGTTATACATTTAAAAATGTTTTAGGTTTTAAAATAAAACATTCTAAATAATTCTTTCTTATTATTTGCTCACTGTTACTTAAAAAGTATGTATACTTATTGTCCAAATATCAATATCGTTGTTAATTATTATTATTTGGGAAATTGATAATTTGTCTATTTAAAATCCGTTTGGCAAGAGCTAAACGGGGCTTTTTTGGCTATTTTAGCCACAAAAGACAAAATAGGCTATTTTAGTCACAAAAAACAAAATATCACATCCAACCCATAATCATTACATTCTTCTCTCACAAAAAAAGTCAAAAACTCAAAAAGCCAAAAAGCCCTCCCCAAACCAAACTTAACTTTTTAGTCCAGGCTAAAATAGCCAAAAAAGCCAAAAAGCCAACTTACTTCCCAAACGGAGGCTTAGTTATTATCTTTATTAAGAATGGTTGATAAGAAATATCTAAAAAGAAAAAAAAGTAAAAATAGTGATTTTACATAAGAATCTTTGTTAGTTTCTTACCTATTAAACTGTGATTATCTCTCAAAATAACGTTTTCATTGATTTAAGTCTAAATATTTCATATTCATAAGATATATTTAACATCTAAATGTATAAATATATATTTTTATGTAATTTTTAAAAAGTGACCGAATCTTTACGATTCATGATTCGATTTGATTCGCGATTCGGTACAAGGTCATTTTCATTCACGATACGAATTTCGATTTGACAACTATGGTTGTGACTAACTAGTATATTCCTTAAATGTTCAGATCTGGTAGTGGGGAGGTCAAAGCCGTTCAGACTTCCAAAAACATCTTGTATAGTAAGAAGGTTGTTGTAATTGCCACTGGTTGTTGGAGTGGGTCTTTGATGCATGACTTGATTGGGGACTCAGACATTCACTTGGATGTCCCTGTAAAGCCTAGAAAGGTTAGAATCTAGAACAGGATATACTTGCGTTGTTTAAGATGCTTAATTTGTTTTGGCATGCATATTTTGCTGCTTAAGATATTTAATTTTTCCTATGGTTCTAAAAATCAGTCAATAGGGTCTTTCAACGGTATAGCGTGGTCCAATTACTGTTTTTGAGATTGATGTATTGGTTGAGTAATGGCAACATTGAAGTTGCCTTAATTAAATAGGTCTGGAAATGGTGATTAGGAATAGCAAAAAATGCCTGTTTTTGACTGGGTGACTGTCTCTCAGTGTAAAAACTGGGGAGAAAATTGCTCCCAAACCTGGTCTCATATCTGATGCGGGACAGCTTTACACATGCTAAGGCAAACCGTGCTTTAAATTTGTTGCAATAATTGCTTTAGGTTATGTTTGTAAATTTTGCGTCAGGGATGATCTGCATGACAGGGACACCTGCTTGTGCTGGAGAATTTGAATGCTATCAAACTGAATCATGGTCTGATGGAGGTGGGTTACGTTGATCATGAAGCTGCAGCTCTGGATTCCTCGGTTTCTGCATCAGGGCCAGTTCATGCACAAATTTCATCAATTTCAATGACAGCCACCATGGATGCTTGGGGAAACCTTGTTCTTGGTAACTGTTTTGTCCTTCTTCAACTCTGTTTCCATTTTATCCTTTTTCCAGATTATCGTTAATCTATACTTTTTCATTTTTTTTCTTTGCTATACTACTATATTGAGATTTTAAACCTTGTTTTTAAACCAAAAAATATATATATATATATATTGTCCTTAGGGAAATATAATGCACAAGCACTTCCACACTTGGGCTAAAGAAGTCCAAGCTCACATGCAACCTCCAAAAGGCCCTGAATCTTGAAGTGGGATGGGAAAAACTTATCTTTCTGTCTATCTATAGTGACAATATGACATTTTCTTTGTATTCAACAATTAATTTCCTTTATGACCTTTCAAAGGTATTGTATCTTCCCTTTTCTTTCAACACCTAACCGATGTGTAGAAAGGAAATTTTTTACTATAGAGCTCCACTGATGTTGCATTAGAACTATTCTTATCTTAAATTTGAATCAGTCAAAGTTGATGTTAAACTTCAAAGTAGTATGTTCTTATGACACCATGGTGTCATTGTCTAGAATTTCCCGTTTTAGTTTTTCTTTTTCCCTCCCAGTAAACATTAAGCTATTGGAGGTATTTGAGTTAACTGAAGAAGTGAGAAAACTCAAAGCTTCTTTGAAATATATGGACTTGATCTGCAACCTCCTTTCTGATGGTTCCAAGAGGATAATAGTGGTTTAAAGGTGATTCTAGATGATCATAATGAATGGAGCTGACACCTACCTTGCCATTCCTTACTTTTTAAGAAAATGTTATGATTATTTTTCATGTTGTCATCAATAGACCATGGTTATTTCTTGTATGTGCTGGAGGTTGGTTCAGGGCCTCCTAGGTACCTGTTCAATGGTTTCAATGCTTATACATTTGCAGGACTTAGAATTGAAGAGATCACAGTTCTTGTTCGAATCTATGTGGTATTATTACATTCTAATTTTAGTTTCAGGTTTGCTCCTGCTGATTACACATTTGTATATTCTTCCATCTTATATCTGTCTTTTCAGGGAGCAGCCGCCAGTTTGTTGGGTTCGATACAGAAATTGATGAGTCCATTATCAATCGCATATGGGAGCGGGCGGTGGAGTTCTTTCCGGCTTTAATAGAATTCTCTCTTAGAGATTTCAGGGAAAGTAGAGAAGTGAGAATAGGATTAAGACCTTACAGTAAGTAGGCAATCTGTCTCATTTGTCAATTGAGGTGTAGATTTGAATTATTATGATACTGGAGATATGGTTATCACCTATAAACTGTTGTAATAATATAAAATTTCACTTGTTTCAGTGCCAGATGGGAAGCCAATGATTGGGCCGGTTCCTGGTTTGTCAAACTTGTTCCTTGCTGCTGGCCACGAAGGGGAAGGACTTTCATTGGTAATTTTCTCTGGTTTTCTCTACTCTTTTGCTTGTGAAATTCCAGAAAAATATAGAATCATTTAAAAATTGCTCCAATATGATTTGCGTATGTTAAAATGTACCAAAACCTACCACTACACCTACTCCACCCACTTCACCTACTCCACCTACTACATACCTACCTCCTTTAATCTTCTATATATAGGACTCATTGTAAACAGAACATATATCAATCAATAATACATAATTCATTCTCTCTATTTCTCTATACATCAAATTTAACATGGTATCAGAGCCATAAGATTTAGGCCC